ATTAGCCCAAGAGACAGAAAGGGCCACATAAGAGACTTCATCAGCCTGAGACCAGAAGAACTAGATGGTGCCCGGCTACCACCAATGACCGCCCTGACAGGGAAAACAACAGAGAGTCCCTGACAGAGCAAGAGAAAAGTGGGGTGCAGAACTCAAATTCTAGTAAAAAGACCAGACTTAATGGTTTGATTAAGACTGAAGGGACCCCAGAAGACATGGCCCCTGGGCTCTCTGTTAGCACAAAACTAAAACCATTCCCAAGGCCAACTCTTCAGACAAAGATTAGACTGGACTATGGGACATAAAATGATACTCCTGAAGAGTGTGCTTCTTAGCTCAAGTAGATACATGAGACTAAATGGGCAGCTCCTGTCCTGAGGTAAGAAAGAAGGCAGAGTGTCAGGAGCTGGTTGAACGGACACGGAAAATCTGGGGTGGAAAGGAAGAGTGTGCTGTCACAGCATAGGGAGAGCAACTAGGGTCACATAACAATGTATGTATGAATTTTTGTATGAGAGACTAACTTGAATTCTAAACTTTCACTTAAAGCACAATACAAAAAAAAAAGAAAAAAAACACCCTGAGAATATGGCCCCCAGACACCCTTTTAGCTCAGTGGTGAGGTTACTCCTGAGGTTCACCATTCAGCCAGGGATTAGACAGCACCGTAAAACAAAACAGGACTAATGAGGCACAGCAGTCCAGGGACAAGCACTAGAAGGCAGCAAGGGACAGGAAAGCTGGTGATAGGGAACCTAAGGTTGAGTAAGGATAGTATCGACATGTAGTGGGGTTCTTAACCACTGTCATAGGGCAATATGTGTACTGTTTAATGAGAAACTATTTTGTTCTGTAAACCTTCATCTAAAGTGAGAATAGCACCAAAACTGGAAGAACGTAATCGACATAACTGAATTGTACATATAGAAATTTTTGAAATGGTGTATCTTTGGCTATGTATATTTTCACCACAAAAAAAAAGTCCTCCAAGGCCAAGAAGGAAGCATGGTGACATGTTGTGGGGTTGTTAACCAATGGCACAAAACAATATGTGTACCGACTGTCTAATGAGAAAATATTTGTTCTGTAAACCTTCACCTAAAGTACAACTAAAAAAAAAAATTCTCAAGAAACAAAAAAAAAATGAGGTAGTTCAGAGCTGAGGACAGTTTGGCTGCCTCCCCACCTTCACCTCCCACTGCCTGCAAACCTAAGCAGGACAAACCAAGGATCTGGACCCCAAAGGGAAAAGCTTGTTTGCCATGATTTGTTTCATTTTATTGGGAGGCAAGAGAGCAGAAGGGTAAACACTGGGTTCTGGTATCAGACAGAACAGGGTTCAAATCCTGCCTCTGCCACGTGCCGTTTGGGGACAAGTCTTTCCTCCTCATCACACTGATCAACATATAAATTTTAAAAATTCACATCAGCTAACCCATCAGTTCAACTCCATGGGAACAGGAACTCTAACTTGCTCACCACCCTCAGTACCTGGTGCCAAGTAGGTGCTCAGTAATATCTGTTGAATTGAATGCAACTTCTCTGAACCTGTTTCTTCGTCTACAAAATGAAGCTAATGATCGTACTTCCCTCAAAAGAGTGGGGGTGAGGATCATGTGAGCCAATGCAGGTCAGTTGCTTGGCCCAGAGCCTGGCACACAGTAAATGCTCAATAAATGAACCAATCATGGTGATTGATCATGATGAGGAGGAAGGCTCGTCTCTGCCACAAACTTGCAGTGTGACCTCGGGCAAATCCCTTGCCCCCTCTGGGCCTCAGTTTCCTCCCCTGGAAAGTGGCAGTGATCATTTCTTTCCTGCCTATCTTTCTGTCCAGGGTGGTTGGAAGGCTTCAGGGAAAGACTGGAAGTGAAGATTTTCTGTAAGCTTCGCAGTGAGGGCCAGGAAGTTTATATCAACATGAGCATTTCAAAACGTACCAGCTGGTTGTCGATTTGGTCACATGGTCAGCCGACAGGCATTTTTTAACTTCCTGAGTGGCTTTAATAAGTGAGGAGGATCTTGAGGTAGGTGTAGAGATAATGCTAGCTAAGATACATAAATTCAGTCTTGTTCAAAGATTGACCTTTAGACCAGATAGAACAGAGTAAACCACTGTAAATAAGCACTTGTATCTCAGTCACATCTGTCATGTTGGTTCTTGTGCCAGGCACTTGAAATAAAGGACCTCTAATACTCCCCAAGGAGCCCTGGTGACATAGTGGTTAAGAGCTTGGCTGCTAACCAAAAGGTCAGCAGTTCAAATCCACCAGCTGCTCCTTGGAAACCCTGTGGGGCAGTTCTGCTCTGTCCTGTAGGATCACTATGAGTCGGAACTGGCTAGACAACAAGAGGTTTGGTTTTCTAATATTCCCCAAAGGAGCCCTGGTGGCCCAGTGATTAAGCATTCAGCTGCTAACCAAAAGGTCAGTGGTTGAACCCACCAGCCACTCCTTGGGAGAAAGATGTGGCAATCTGCTTCTGTAAAGATAACAGCCTTGGAAGCCTTATGGGGCAGTTCTACCCTGTCCTATAGGGTCACCGTAAGTTGGAATCGACTCAATGGCAACATGGTTTAATACTCTCCAGAACCCTGCCAAGTGGTTATTATTACCTCCGTTTTATAACTAAGCAATTTAAGGCTCAGAGAGGTTAAATGATTGTCCTGAAGCAGAGGGAAAGGGAGGAGGGGGGAGGGGTCAGTGCAGGGTCAGCCCAGAGCAGGGACAGGCTGTGGCCCACGCACTTGTGCAAGACAGCGATCTCATTCTCCATGCTGCCCTCCTTGCCCTCCAGGGCCTTCTTGGCAATGCATTTGATGGCCACCAGCTTCTGAGTCCTCTTATCTTCTGCCAGGATTACCTCTGAGAAGGCACCCCTGCAGGGAGAGGGAATTCCTGAGGTAGGGAACTGGAACCCCAGTTTCCCACCAGCCTCTCTTCTAGCCCCTATGGGTCATAACATATGACAACCTCTGGACCAAGAAGGTGGGATGAGCCTCTCCCCATCACTCATCTACCCCAGGCTCTAGAAGTGGTCACATGACCCAGGTCTGGCCAATCAGAGTAGTCTATCCCCCTGGCCACAGTAATTGAGTCATGTAATATACCAGGTTACTGGTGCTTTGAGAATGAGGTGTTTTTTCTTGCTAGACTGGTAGCATGTAAGCCTGGAACTGATTTGCCACTGCTTGAGGAGAGCCTGCTTGAGTATGAAGCCAATACAAAGGAAATCAGAACTAAGAAACGGTCAGAGACAATTTCCTGATAACATCCTGTAAGCCCCGGGATCCAGCCATGCCTGAACCCTACACCTGACCTTTTTGATTCTGTGCACAATTGACTCATTCCCTTTTCTGCTAGAGCCAATTTGAGTCTGGCTAATTTAACACCCTTTAGAACCTTGAAGAACTACCAGCATCATCTGAGAGCGTTTTAAAATGCAAAATCTCAGGTCTCACCCTAGACTGACTTTATCAGAATGTGCATTTTAACAAAGACCCTCAGGTGCTTTGTATGCACTTTAAAGTTTGAGAAGCAGTGCTTTAGAACAGGCACTTAGAAAGAAAGAAAGAAACTAATTTACACTAAAGTTCCCTGAGTAAGGAAGGTTTACTATGGTATTCTTTCTACCACTGTTTGTTTTCCTTGGGAGAATGAGAAATCATAAGCCAAAGAAAAGTATCTCTCATGGTGAAATTTCAATCATCAGGAATAACTAGTAACTATAGTAGCCTTGGAAACCCTGGTGGTGTGGTGGTTAAGAGCTACAGCTGCTTAACCAAAAAGGTCGGCAGTTAGAATCCACCAGGCGCTCCTCGGGAAACCATACGGGGCGGTTCTACTCTGTCCTATAGGGTTGCTATGAGTCAGAATTGACTCCATGGTAATGGGTTTGGTTTTTATTTTTGGTAATAGCCTCATCACTAGTTTCTAGTCTTGTCCCTCTCCAGTTTATCTTCTATCCTGTGGCCAGAGACTCAACTTCCCTGAATTGCAAACCTGCCAAAAAGTCTTAAATGTCTTCCTATGGCCCATGGGATAAAGTCCAGTCTCAGCAGTCTGGCTTTCAAGGCCCCGCATGATCTGTTCCCGTCTTTTCTCCAGCCTCTCCTTTCACTCTTCCCAAGCCTCTTATTTTAAGCCCCACCAGCCTCCTTACCCTTTCCACACATACCATGCCTCTGAGCCTCTGCTGATATTCCTTCTGCCTGGGCTGCCCTTTTTTCTCTCTTTGACAAGTGCACTCTTACCCATCCTTCAGTCCCCAGTAACAATGCCCCCTCCCCCAGGCAGAAGCCATAGCCCTCTCTGGTCTATACAAAGCACTTAGGCCCATCCTTAACTGGAGTACAGCACACACACTGTGTCATTTTCCATGGATCTGTCTCCCCCACGTGTCTGGGATCCACTTGAGAGGCAGAGATCAGGTGTGAGTTATTTCTGGATTCCCAGCACTGAGAACAGAGCCATGCTCAGCCTCAGTTCCCAAGCATAGGCTGGGGCCCCCAGTTGTTGGCAGCAAGTCAGATAAGCTGTCCCCTTCATTCTCCCTACTCGCTTCTCTTCAGTGGGAACCCAGAGCTGCAGCAAGAGCTGCCCCTGTCCCACCCACTGATAGGCAGAAGTGAGAAGCTGAGGCCAGCCTGGGCCACGGAGAGGCTGCCACAGGGCCTGGGCTGTAGGAAACAGGAAGCAGTGATCAACTGACCAGAGGAAGCATCATCCTAGACCCAGCTGACCCAGCCATCCAGACCCAGGAGTGAGGACCTCCCAAGCCCCTCTCCACCGCCAGGCCATCTCAGGGACAGTCCCCCTTCTCTCCTGCCCTGAGACTTGAGGGGTCACTCACGTGCCCAGAACATCACGGAAGTCGTAAATGTCCCTAATGTCCTCCGCCTGCTTCCAGCTGGGGGCTTCCACTGCCCCCGGCATGGCCCACTGCCCACTGGCCACAGCCAGGGCTCCTGGGAAGGAGAATGGAGGGAGGGGGCTCAGCCTTCTCTCTGGGAACTTACCAGGGACCCCATTCAGTCATTCAACATGCATTTATTCATTCCTTGATTCAGTCATTCCACAAGTCATTTAACAAACATTCATTTGTTCAGCAGTCATTTGTCCATTCAACATCCTTTACGGCGGAAGCAAAATTCTTCATTCAACAAAGGCATTCATTCACTCATTTATTCAGCTCACTTTCTAGTTTTTCCCTTTCCAAGTCCAAACATCCAGGGGCACCCTGACCTCTGGAAAGACAGCAGAGAAGATTCCAGAGGAGCTTGTAGAAGTGCACGGCCTGGGAGGATGCCCCTGTCCCCAGAACCAGCAATATCCCAGCCCCACCCTGGGAATTGCTGGGATGGCTCCTCTCCCTCCTCCTCCTTCTCCCCCGCCCCAGCCTCTCTCGGAAATCAGGTTTCCGGCAGCCTGGGCTTCCAGCAATATCTCAGCCACGTTTTTAAATAGCTCCTTCTGCACTGTTACCACGGCAACAACAGCCACAGCTGGAGCTCCCCAGGCCTCCTACTTCCCCCCTCCCTCCTGACTCCCCATCTGGGTCCAGGCAGCCTGAGAAATGGTCCCACCCAACCTGTCCCTCCTGGCCCTGTCTCAGTCTGATCCAGCCTGGACTTTCCCCCACTGAGGCCTCAGTCTCATCCAGCAGGAGAGGGTGGGCATGATCTCCCCATTTATCAGAAGAATGAGGAGACTGAGGTTGGAGATGGATAGGGGTTGGGTCCAGAATTCCCGAAATGATGCCCAGCTGGGGCCCCAGCTAAGCTTGCAGAGAGCAAAGGCCATGGAGGGAGCTTCCCTCAGCTGGTCCTTCCCATCTGCAGCCAGGCTGGGGCCCATTAGAACACAGCTTTTCAACCAGACTCCAGGACCACAGAGGATGAGGCCAGAACAAAGCCTAGTGTGCTGTGTGACCTCAGGGAGGGTGCTTTTCCTCTCTGTTTCCCCTGAGGGAGAATGAGGGGCAGGTGCCCTGACTAGAGCCCCTGGTGTGAATTTCTATCCCTGGGGTGGGACTCTGTTCCCAGGGGGCCCTGGCCACCAATCCCAGAAGCAGAAACTTCTAGGAAAAGAGACTTGATAGTGAGCTCTAGAGGCACAGTCTTAAACTCACCTGAAGTCCTGGCAAATAAGCCTCTCACAGTTCCACACACATGCCTACAGTCAGACACCCCACACCAAGCCCCATTCACATCCCTGAACCCAGACACCTGTCCCCAGAGCCAGCACACCCTACACCCAAACACCGTGACGCCTAATCATACAAGTATACCCAGACATCAGCACACATCTCCACACTCACACTGCCCCCAGACATCCTTACAACCTGTCTGCTTAAACACCCCTCACCCAGATCCCCATCCCGACCCTCTTACACCCCAAAACACACATCCAGACACCTGGACAAGATGACATGGGGACACACACACTTGTCCATCAGACACCCTAGATTCACCCACACTCTACACCTTTCAGCTCCTATATCCCACACTCTAGAAGCTCCTACACCCCAAACAGCCCCCAACTCATTACACACCTAACTCCAAACATCCTTAGTACACAAATGTACCCCACCCCAACTCTGAGTTACTACCCTTACAGTCAGATACCCTTACTTCTCAGCACACACAACACCTGGACACATGTCTATGCCAAAAAACACACTGATCCCCAGACATCCCCACCCATAAGAATATCCTTACACACCAACTCACTGCACCCCATTATCTGACCCACACCACTGTACTAAGACATAATACACCCCAACACGCTCCCCCCCCCAGATATGTACCTCCAAATGCCCATGGCCTTCCACATTCAGGCGCGGTTGGACACGCATATACACGCACACACCCCCTCTCACTCTGCTATACTACCCACTCAGTTTCCAACAGCCGGCCCGGCACCTGCTGGGCCTGGGCAGAGGTGGTGGAGAAAGGCCCAGTGCCTATCCAGGGTCCAGCTCGCCTGGGCACCCCACCCATCCCCGGCGGAGGGCTTTCAGCGGCGAGGAGGTCCCGTCTCCCCCCAGCGCCCAGGGCGCAGGCGGGGCTGCCCCGACCCCGGGCCGTACCTGCGGCTGCCCC